GAGCTGATGAGCTTGGGCTTGCCTCCTTGGTAGGACCAACAAGGGCCTTATTTGACTTTGTATACCAGCTTTCTGTAGTCTTCAAACAGTTCTCTCATGCAGCAAGCCAAAGCTATTATGCTCACTAATAAAGCCAGTTGGATTCCAGTGATCACCAAAATGGGGTGAACCATTATATTTAGCATACCAGTTGCAGAAAGTGACCACCCTAATAGTGTTTCCCACCAGAAGTGATGTCCTGCATCTGCAATAGTTTTCAGCACTTGGCTGATCTTTGTATTATCATGTTGTACGTCAATATGTATTTGTTCTGCTGTCTGTGCAATGTATATTGTAAATGGGAATATAACATAGGATGGACCAACAATTTTCTTATCATGGTCATATTCATGCCTAAAGTTACAGGCATTATATTATGATACAACTGTGATTTAAACTTCAAGTAGTTTACAGTCCATACAGGTACATAGTATTCAACATTATAATTTTATAATTTTCCTAATATTGCAGAAACATCTATTAACTAAATAAGTCATAAAATACAGTTCATTATCGTCTACTACTACCATAGGACAATGACTTCTAACACAAACACGTCCCTTTCCCCGCATACACAACAGATGACTTTTGTTCCATGAATATAGCAAACATACATCTTTGGGTTCCTTTGTCTTTTACATAAAAACATTCATCTCTTTCTTGTAAGTTTTGATCCTCACACACCTATCCCAAATTTTCATGGACCACACACTGAAAATGTCAATGGTTTTCCATTGTTGGTTTTCTTTATATGCCCAGGAGTGATGATCAGCAGAATACATAACCAAATTTTTCATTAGCTGAATTCCCACAGGTACCACCAGGTATATATATATCTCAATAGTCAGGCTGGGTGTACAGTTACTACATACGCCCGTAGGACCGTTTGATCTGTATTCAATGTAAAATTTACTAATTTCCACCATGCCAATAATTCCTTCTCCCCTTCTGTAACATTTTCCCTCAAAACTTTTTATTTCCAAAGGCAAATTTCTTTGCATGCCTTCCCAGATTATTTGAATGACCAATTGCTGACTTATTTCCTGGGCCTGTGTACAGGCTAATGTTATGGACACATTTTCTTGTATTGTATCCATAGTTCCTGCTAAAAATAACATCCTTGTTATTGCCATACTGGCAGTATTTTAGAAAATAATTGTTGTGCCATTCCTAATTCTGACAAGGAGACACAGATGGACTTTCCGAGATGGCCTTTCTTGTATTTCAGCTGTGACATAACTTAGTTTTTTTGCCAATACCTCTATGTTAGTAGCATCCAGTATTCCAACTCCTAATCCACTTCCACCCAAAGCAGTTTCCAAAACACTTCTTTGGAACCTTTTCTTTAGGCTACCCACCCCTCCTGGCTGCCAGGCAAATCCAATAACCTTCAGTAGTTCACACTGAGATAGTATTAGGGCAGCTATACCTTCACTGGGCCTTTACTGTTCTGCCCCTTATAGTAATTAGGGAAGGTGTTGCAACGGCCTTCCTTTCCTTACATCCAATTTTATACAACACCCAGGTGCATTCAGTTGGGCTTGCATGCTGGAAGTTGATTAAGACTTGCCAATTATTACTGATTCTTCCCCCACCCCCGTAGATCCATGGTATTCTGGGTTGCTCTTTAGCTGGCACCAGCTTTTCCTAAAGTTCTGCAAGACAAAAAGAACATTTTTCTACCTCTTTTGTGGCATATTTGGAACAGGGTGGCAAATTATTGCTTAAAATACCCCTTCCTTTTACAAATATCCTTGCTGATTGCAGGCAAAACAGAGGAATTACCCCCATACTTTCCTGTGTTTTTGTTCTATAGGCAGGCCAGGTTTAATGGCTTTTACCCTGTAAGGGTTTAGGGGAAATTATCCCACTGTTCAGTCATTAAATTCATGAGGTGGTGTGCCTCAGTTTCCCTTTTTATACAGCAGACCAGGTTTGTAATGTTTTTTCTCCTGTGCTAAGCTTTACATTTATTCACAGGTAATAGCTGAAAAGCATCATCCTATGACCTTAAAGGACATTTCCAAAAATCATACACACTATACATTGTTACAGGGGAACTTATTAACATTAAATTTATCCTAATGTTTAATATTAACAATAACATTAGCATCAAATCTATTAAAGGTATCTTGTTATACCATTAATTATATCCTTGGGGTTTTGGTGAATTAAAAGGTAGGGGTGTCATGCATATAAGCAGACCTCTTTTTTTATTTGTCTTCAGATTTTAGCACTGTGCATACACGCAAAAAAGTATATTTTTTCTACTTAGGGTTAACCTGTCCCTCTTATTCTTAGGGTTGACTTCTTTTTCCACCTTCCTCGGGGGAGGAGGGGAGTCATAATTTGAGCCTTTTGGTTTCAGGTGTACCTCTACCTCAATATAACGCTGTCCTCGGGAGCCAAAAAATCTTACCGTGTTATAGGTGAAACTACGTTATATCGAACTTGCTTTGATCCGCTGGAGTGCGGAGCCCTGCCCCCCCGGAGCACTGCTTTACCGCGTTATATTCAAATTCATGTTATATCGGGTCGCGTTATATCGGGGTAGAGGTGTAGTTTGTTTGCTGAGCAGGTATGTTCACTATCTGCAGCTCCTTTGTGCTGCCATTTATGGGCAGCTCTCTCCTTCCACTATCAGCTAGGTAATTTGCATCAACACAGATGCTTTCTGGCTTGCTTTTGGATCCAAAGCCATTAGCAGCTCAGAGACTCTGCTTTAAAAGGGACACAATCAACTTCCACCAGAGTTTTGATTTCTTTCCACTTTCAACTCCTACTTCCAAAACACACAGCAATCTGGAAAAAAACAAAAAACCAACCAAACAAAAAAACCCCCACAACCTATTGTGGCTCCCTTTGGAGCCCTAATGGGATTTTAATTAAGTAGCATGTTTTGTTTGCATTTCTTCTACAATATACACTGCACATGTCCTGGGAAAAATGCACATTCCTTTCATAGTTTAATTTCTATAACATTATGTTAGCCATATCAATTTTTACATAAGGTGTTAACTTTTTTTTGGTGCTCACAGAGTTTTCATGTACCCTTATGTGACGTTATTGACACGAACTGTGACCGTTTAGATCATTATTGTTGCAACCAAGGTCCTGTAGTGGCACCAAATCTTGTACAAAGGAGGTCAAGTAAGGTGTCTAGGAAAATGTTATGATTTGCTGGTTATGATTATGCTATCTGTATGCATGTATCATTTTTGTATTTAAAGTTATAAGTACTGATGCTATACTGGCTGTATTTCAAACTTGTGCTATGCTTCTGAGTGACACCCCAGACAATTTGGCATCAGCACTGCCTAGCCTGCTTGATGGCCCTTACATCAGCTATACAAGTGACCGACAGAGAGAAGACAGATACACCTTATGACTCAGCAATGAATGCAGGGACATGCCTATGAAGAGAACTCTAAGGCTTCCAAGCCATATGCTGGGCAGCTTGTGTGTGAAACAAAGGAAGCACAGGCCGCATGACAGAGGATATAAAAGGCCCTGGAAAACCCCCCATTTTGTCTTCAATCCTGCTTCTAACCTCTGGAGGAACTTTGCTATACTAAAGCTCTGAACAAAGGATTGAATGACCATCCAAGCTGTGGGTGTACTCCAGAGACTTGATTTGAGGCTGCAGTTTATCCCACCACTGCTATAAGCCTGAACCAAGAACTTTGCAATGGTTGTATGTATTTGATTCCATTTAACCAATTTTAGCTCTCATCTATGTTTCTTTCTTTTTATGAATAAACCTTTAGATTCTAAAGGATTGTCAACAGTGTGATTTGTGGATAAGATCTGACTTGTATATTGACCTGGGTCTGGGGCTTGGTCCTTTAGGATTGGGAGAACCTTTTTTCTTTTACTGGGGTATTGGTTTTCATAACCGTTCATCCCCATAAGGAGTGGTGCTGGTGGTGATACAAGGGAACTGCAGTATCTGAGGAAATTGCTTATATGACTTCTGATTAGCCAGTGGGGTAAAACCGAAGTCATCTCGGTTTGGCTGGTTTGGTGTGCCTTAGTAATAAAGGAACCCCAGCCTTCGGCTGTGACTGCCCTGCTCTAAGCAATTTGTCCTGAATTGATACTCTCAGTAGTGTCCCGGCTTCCTTACACCTTATCAAAGTGATAGTCTGATTACTCAGAGCCACCTTAAGGCTCAGTGTTTCTAACATTGCTTTTTTCTGTGCCTCACCGCTGCTGTTGCTCCAGAGGGGCACTGTCTTTTTTAATTTCTTATTCTTTTACTACAGCTCTTATCTGTTATTTTGTTACCATTCTCCTGGTTTTGACTGCCCTTCTGGAGCCACAACTTTGATCTTGAATGTTATAAAGCATATGAGGAGCCTTAAGGGTTAAATGCTAAATACCAAAGCCAAACAACACTAGTTACCTGTGATTGGCAAAAAGTGTCTGTCAGGTTTGCAACTCTGAATGAAAGATTCAAATGGATTTTTAGTGGTATTATTTAAAAACAAAACAAAAAACAATTTATCTTAAACCTACAAAACAGAGTTTTACAAACTTGGGGCGGCATTCCGGCCATTTTTTTTTTTTTTTTTTTTTGCTTGGGCAGTTGCGCTCTCGGAGCTTGGGGTGGCAAAAAACCTAGAGCTGGCCCTAGGTTTAGGTCCTAATCACTCCACATATTTACACAATATATTTACTTACGCACACACACACAGAGGTACATACATACTCTTTTGCTTAACATCCCTTACACTGCTTTAATTTTTTCACAGTACATAAATTACATTTGTATACATTTGGGGACAGTTAAGTTCCAATAGAAACCCCTTATGTTCTTTTAGCAAATCTGACTAAGTTGTTCATAGTTAAATGATTTAAATCAGATTGTCTCTTTTCCTGGCTTATTTACAGACATTCAGTTGGAAAAGGGCCCATTTTTCCTTCAGAATGGCTGCAAAGAAACCAAGAATTATTTTTCTATAACACTTTTTATTGTTAACGTTTTTACAAGGTTCAGCTGCTTAATTCCCAACAGCCTCTGCAGAGTTAACTTCTCACTCTCTTTCCTTGCTTATCTCCCAAAATGACACCTCCATATTGTCCCAGGGATCTGAAATCTCCAGGCCTCTACTTACTCCTCCCTTTCTCCTGCCACTATGCCCCTCAGGGCTTCCAACCTGTTTCCCAATCTTTTTATCTGTTGCCTGCCTGCTTGCTTGGGCTTGATTCTGATTTCCTCACTGAACCATCCCTTCCCACGAGCACAGGCTTTGTCCCACTAACCATTTAGCAAGGAGGGTGGGGTCTTCAACTAGCCCCATCCCTCCTGGTCCCTTTTCTTTGTTCTGGGGTACGGTGACCTGATCACCAAAGTCAAATATCGGGACGCAGGGGGGGTGGGGTGGGAGGGGGCAGGGCAAAAAAAACCCCCAAAAACCACACACACACACACAGAGGTACATACATACTCTTTTGCTTAACATCCCTTACACTGCTTTAATTTTTTCACAGTACATAAATTACATTTGTATACATTTGGGGACAGTTAAGTTCCAATAGAAACCCCTTATGTTCTTTTAGCAAATCTGACTAAGTTGTTCATAGTTAAATGATTTAAATCAGATTGTCTCTTTTCCTGGCTTATTTACAGACATTCAGTTGGAAAAGGGCCCATTTT